CCCCGCCCACAGCACCAGCCATGTGGAATAGCAACTTCACCACAGAAACCAAGGGTGCCCTTCCTACGCTGGATCAGAGCGCAGGGCTGTCACATCTGGTTCCCATCACCTCCGGCTGGCAGTCATTTACGCCAGCCGCCACAGCCCAGAGATCCTGGGCTGGCCATTCTGTTCCTGTCAGCGCGGGCGGGCCGTGCTCCAGAGGTCTCAGGCCAGCATCCTGGGCTGAGGACCGTCTGGGCGCGGCTGAACTGGAGTCTTGACACGAGCCACAATTGCAGGTGGCGCCGAATGCCGCTCCTTCATCTTCCTCTCCCACCAGAATCCGGTGTCGGGGGAGAGCAGTATCCCAGAGGCATGCTGCCCTGAGCCGCGGAGCAGAGCGTCAGATCACTCAGGGGGACAAAAGAGCCAGACTCGATCGCCCTGCTCCAGCTCAACCTTAACACCCAGGGAACGTCAAGACCTGGGAGGAAGCGAAGCCCCTGATCCTAGCGACCCCGCCCTCTCTCCCAGGTCACACCCTCGCTCACCTATCAGCTTGGACCACTGCGCGGGAGGGCGGTACAGTGGGTACTGTTTTGGAAAGGTCTGGGGGCTCCACTGTCCCGTGAACACCAGAATGTAGGAGGCGGGGCCACGCTCCAAGCACGTGGCCGGACGATCGGCTGAAGAGAGGACGTTGCCGGCCCACAATGCCATTTGCATCAGTGCGGCAGCCAGCAGCCTCTGCAGCCAACCAGGGGAGAGGATCTCTGGTGACATCATCTGGATAAAACAGCGAAAGGAAAGAATGCCATCATCTGAGTGCGCCACACAACAGAAGAGTGACATCATCTGCGTGAGACCCTGGGGTCGGAGCCAGGCTTGATCTCTGGGGCAGCTCAGGAAGCTGACAATACTCTCCCTCACTCCCTTCCTTCCCCTCCAGTAAGGTCTTGCAGAGGAGGCTGCCATAAAACGCTGAATTAAACATAACACAGCAATGTGATATATATCATCCTGCATCATCCTCCCGGAGACAAAGAAGACAGGGAGGCTTCTGAGCCCAAAACAGACTCCAGTGGCAGTCTAATCCCGAAGTTACTTATTGCCTGTGATTTAAGGGTTTCTGGGAAAAAGAAAGGGTGACGTAGCTGGTTTGAGTTAGAGAGGGTTTTTGCTGCTCAGTATTTCTCAGAAACAGTGAAACAATGTGAATCTGGAAGGAGATGTTAGGAGGGAGAACATAAAATATTTCGATGTCTTGCCGTTGCCCAAGAGCTGACTGAACCACCTCTCCTCTCCCAAGTCCAAATCTGCTTCTGCACTACGGCCCCTTGCAGTTTTTTCACCTCCCTAAACTGCTTGCAGATGTCCTTTTCCATTAAGCTCAGACGAAGCCCACGGAGTAAACAAGTTCACGTGTCGGGCTGCGCTCCGAAGGGAGGAGCCCCTTCTCCAGGAGCACGGGCCCAGTCGGTGACTGATCGGTGCCAGGGAGAGACAGGGCGACGTCCGTCCCCCTCTCTCTCTCTCACATCTGCAGCTCCGCTGCCGGGCTGGAGCAGTAAAACAGCGCTCTCTCAATAAAAGCCCAAGGAATGTGTTTAACAGCGCAGTAAAGACACGGCGCCGAGGGAAAGCTGGACAACCGGCAGCGAGGCTGGGTGATACTGACCGGAATCACAGAGCGCAGGGCCAGCAGGCCTGACAGATGATGAGGCACGCACACACACGTGCGCACGCAGGTGTCCCTCTCCAAGCGTGCGAGTGTTCACACACGTGCGAGTGTTTTCACGGAATGTGGGGGTGCGTCCCCAGAAATCCCCCCCCCCCGTAGAGACAGAGACTCCTGACCAGCAATCCCCCACCACCATCCTGCGTCTGAACCAGACGGCGTCTCCATTTACGACCCGCCCGTGCCCAGACTGGGGTCCGCTTATGGCAGATTTTGGGGGTCCTCACAAAAAACAGGCGGACACACGGATGTGGTTGGGTACGGCGCCACCATGAGCTGCTCCGAGCTGCAGGACCCCCAGAAACCCGTTCGGACTCCCACAGCGGCCCCTCAGGTAATGCAGAGAGCGGCGCACTGCGGCTCTCGAACCAGCGTCCGAGAAAGCACCGCAGGAGCCAGAAGTGGACCAGCCCAGCGGGAGGAGGCAAGCTGACGGTGGCGCCACAGCGCTGCCAGAAGGGTGGTGGTCAGGGGTTCGATCAGTATCCGTTTCACCGGTTTCCCGCACGCCGGCCTGGCTGTGTCACACACAACCAGCACTGCTGGAGTTCC